CATTTTGTCGTGTCATTCGTGCCGCCATTTTGTCGTGTCATTCGTGCTTCGTGCTTCGAACTTTTTTTGTCTCCGTAGTGCGTTTGTTAAATTATTAATGTTGTTGTTACAGTTTTTGTTTATTGTTAATATTTTGTAATAGATAATTAAAATTGTAGAAAATATGAACCTCCTTTTCCAATTCCGTTTAAAATATAAGGTGTCGCACACCTGCATTCACACTTTGACAATGACATTTCTTTAATTACATTTTGGACGTCTAATTGTGTTTCTTACTATAGTTATTGATGGATGATTTTCCGTAGCCCAGCGCCGCCAACGGGGACAGTCATGCGCGCGCAGCGTTCCATAGTATGGCTGTATTTCAAATGCGTAGACCCAGAAAGTAAATACTCTCGGTGCCTAATCTGCAAAAAGATTTTATCGCATTCGACCACTTTGACTAATTTGAAGAAACACCTCGCGAGGAAGCATCCTGATGTCAAGATTCCGGAAAGGGAGGATGGGGTGCGTAATCTTCTCACTTTGGATATTAAGTTTTTTCCTGTTTAATGCGTCGTTTCGAAAAGTGTGGTGATTCGCCCGGGCTTTAACTCAAAGAACTGGGTTTTAAAACAGCGAATACGGGATTTGGTGTAATTCGATGCTTATTAGAAATTTCGATGTTAAAAAATTGTTTAGACGAAACAGGGGCAACTCCACACAATAACTGTGGACTCTCACTGCTAGGGTTGCACATTACGATTCGATTTTTATGAATATCGATTCAAAAGTATACGAGATAAGTTTTTTGTATAAATTCGTTTTAATAAACATTTTGGAATAATATCATTACATTTGAACAAAACTCGATTTAATATTTCGGGCATTAATGGGTGGGATCCAAACGCGATGCGCGTTTCTAATTATTGAACATTAGCGACGCGACGGCATCAGTGCAACCGTCTGTTGTATCGGTGCTGAACGTCGACGGTGTAACCGCTCCTAACGTTAGCCACTCTTTCAGCGCAAACGCATTCTCCTATCATCCGGTGGGGAACTTTACGAAGTCGAAACAAATTCAAAGTTGGATGACGATGAGATTTTGGCCCATGACGACGATACACAGGTGAGAATCGAGTTTTTATTCAATCGTAAGTCACTTACGATTAATAGTTTTGTTGACATTAGGCAAATGTTATAGAATTTCAGACATTCACTTCAGTTGAAATGCATGTGGCATTTTTTCGAAAAAATATCAGTAAAAATACCGACGTCACTATTTTTGAACGACTTTTAAAAAAGGAGGTTCTCAATTCGACTGTCTTTTTTATCTGTGTATGTTATACGCATTTGTGAACCGATTTTGATGATTATTTTTTGTTGGAAAGAGGGTACCTCAGTATTGGTTCCTTTTAAACTTTGAGAAAACCTTTAAAGCAAAGTCACACCCCGGACACTCCATACAATAGTCGAAAGTTAACTACTACTACACACAGCCAAGCGCTATCTGCCCACGCGCAAATGTGTGCGTGAAGTGGCAGGGTTACCCATCATATTCTCTTATCTATTACATGGTAAGCGCGGCGTCTTAGCGAAAATTCTAACGCGAATCAGTTACCTGAAATTCTATTAATAGAATCTTAAATTATTAGGATTAGTGTAATTATACGCATGTTTATTAGGTATTTATATTGATATAATCTGTATTATATATTTTTCAATTTGTATTATATATTACTCTGCACTATATTAAAAAAAAAGCAGCCGAATGAATCTCAGACATAAGTTTATTTTTGCTTACTTCGTTTCACCTTTCGGAAAATGAAAGAAACTCGTCTGTTTATCCCGGTTCGATGACCACGAACAACTGTACAGGGGTAATTCACGGCCATTATAAATAGTAACGTACAACTAATTATGTTATATATTAAAGTACAAGTTTCGTAATGAATAAATGAAAACTATATTCAAATATCAAAGCCGTCTTAGCGCGAAAAAGCTCGCCGACAGCCTTGTTGTCGTTCAGTCAATGTGACCGTCAATGTCCGGGGCGTGGTGCGGTATCTAAAGCTAGGGAGGGGCGGAGGGTGTCCGTTCTCATTACTTTTTGTTCTCTGGCAAAGTACTTTCCGGTAACCGATATCCATAAAATTTGGTAAACAGATGTAATTCCACGAATTTTTGGAATCGTTTTTTTTATAAAAAGGGTACGATTATTTCCCGAATGGATAAGGTATTAAGTTACTGCAAGAGAAAAGTAAATATACTTCCATTTAATTTCTTTTATAGTTATTTGTTATGCGAGGCTGCGAAGTTGTTTGACGCGAATACTCGTTTCAAGGCAGGAGACGCAAAACAACTTCACCTCATTATAGAGAGGAAAATGGTGGATGAAAGAAAAATAGTTGAACTATAATAAATCAGCTTTAATAAACGAAATTGGTTATCGTTGGAAATGAAACTTTCTGGATTAAAATCGCGTATATTTGTTTTTACAAACAAACCAACGTTCATTTTAATTTATTAAAAATTTCGTTATTAATAATAAATTTAACCTAACTTAAATTGACATTGTTAAAATAAAATCATTCGTAAAACATAATGTAGCGTAAATTGGAATGTTTCTTTCTAAAATTAAAAATAAGGTATTTAACTTAGTATAATAACGCATAGAAACCTAGCCCGCACACGCTAAGTGAGGCAAATTGAAGCGCTCCCAAAGGGCCTACACGAGCGGGCGGGCCGTCAGTGCTCAAGGTCAACTTGCACCGCGAACAGCTCAAGAATTTTAGCTAAAAATGGCGAAATGTGCGGTAAATGAGTGTAAAAATACGTCAGACAAACAGAAAATAGATACTAACGTCACATTCCACAAGGAAGTAACGCGTTTCAACTTGTATTTTTATATAAATATTCACTAAAACCGAAAATTAACCTACTACTAAAACTAGCCTACATGAATTTGATTTTTGCCTCACTTGTGACAGTTCGTTTGATATGAAACTATCATTCTATGCGTTATTATTCTAAGGTATTTAATATATTAATAACTTTTGTAACTATAGTGAAAAAATAGGGTGGTTTGCATTAATATTAGACATAACTGGTTGATGACTTTACCACCTCAGTCAACCGTGACCATGCGACCTGTAAAGGGCCCGAAACGTCGGTTTGTTTGAAAAAACAAATATACGCGATTTAAATCCGGAAAAATAGTTTCATTTTCTATGTGTAACAATCGCGAAAACCTAAGAACTCTGTTAGTTATCGTGGTCAATTTAATGTCAACAATAAGAATATAATACTTATACCATAGTACATAAATAATGCACGACAAATCGCGTACTTGATCGTGTCATTATGTTTTTTTTTTCATCGAAAGAAAAAATTTGGTGCACCACAGTCCAACGACAAGTTCAAAAACCTAAAAACGCTTTTGCGCGCCCATTTCTAATTTCCAAGCTAGTGAGGTGACATCATTCTTTTCTCGGTTTTGAGTTTTTGTCGCATGCGCCTTTTCAACTGACCGCGTCAGAGATGCTATTTGCATTTTTTTTATGATACCAACTAACGGAAGTACCAAGTCGTGCGCCTGGTGGTAAGCGACACGCCTGTCCATAGGGGTTGTAGTGCTACTCAGGACTTTAAATCGCAAAGATCTGAGGAGCACTACCATTGCGCCTCGCATCCTGAGATATAAGTAGCTAGCCCGATGTGCCTGCAATTTCACCAGCACATTCTAAAAATAACACCGTATATATTTTTTCACAGCACGACCAAACAGTAGAGATGGACACGGTCTACTTAGAAGATTTCGATGCTCTGGACACGACACCGCTTAAGAAAAAGCAGCGCCAAGCAAAAGCGGAAAAAACTAAAATTCCCGAATTCGAGAGTAGCTCGGAAGACGAAATTACATTTTCCAACAAATTTACAAAGAAAAAATGCGATTCCCTAGACCATTTCGGGAAATATCTAGTCTCCCTGCTAAGAAATCTACCACGCGAAACGTCAAATACGCTACAAGCAGATTTTGTGAAACAAATAATGTCGGTCCAAACTAGTGATGCGCCCATCACTGCTACTGACACATACTCGACTGTTACTGATATATTTGATCAGAAGGGTGATAAAATTAATTAATAAATAACAACTAGTTGATTAACTTGTATGCTTGAGAAATGCTTTAAAAAAAATACTGTGGTATTATTTACGCATCGGTCGACGTGTACGATTGTATTGAATCTCAAAAGTTTGTACTTATTATGGTAGAGGTATGTTTTATATACATAATTTATAGTAGTAATAAATGCTTTTTAGTAAATAAAATGTTATGTTATTTTTTTAACCCAGTGTCATTCAGAGCCTTATGGCAAAGATCTTAGCACACTATCACTGCGCCCGTCACCCTGAGACACAAGTTGACAATTCCTGTATACCTGTAATTTCACCGGAAAGCAGTATTGCTCAAATTACTGCTTGGCGGTAGAAATTGGCAAGGTTAATTAGTCTGGCAGTACTTACCTGGACACTCTTCCACAAGGAGTCTATTGCTACTGAAGAATGAAAAAAGAAAATGGGAGGGCTTGGCTGTAGTTCCTACCCCAGCCCATTACGAATAGGAACATCACACACACATAATTTAAATGATTATGTACAGCATAATAATAAAGTAATACCCAATGTTGAAAGAATCACTAACTCCAAAGTTATAAGGCGTCCTAGTTTTGGAGGTTAGGGATCACGTTTAAATGATATTTTTTATTTTCTTGTACAACCCTCGTATTTTGTTCTCAAGCACTTTGTAATGTCATTGTCTTTATTTCTTTTTTTCTAAATAAATCTTATTAAATATTGTAATAATATAGTAATGGAATCGTAATGAATAAAGTTATAAAACAATTAGTGGATATTTGTTACAGACCTGCAAAAGACGATTAGACCTATTTTTTTCTATCATTATCATGAAAATCATTTTAGGAATTGTATTTTCATTCATATCATATAGTACTCAGTGCATGTCCTCAAATTAAGTTTTTTTTTTTTCAAAGTAATTCATCCTGTCGGATCGTGACCCCGGGACCTGTAACCGTAGGTGGGGTTACTCTTGAGGTTATGCATAATTACGTCTGCCTTGCCCAAAATATCCAACTTGGCAAGCACAACTTCGAGAAGGAAACCGACAGGAGAATGGGCATTGTTCACAATTTTTGACCTATACATATTAATTTTTTTTCGAAAATATATATTTTAAGACACTAATTTGAGTATTTTATCATTTCGTAGCTTATTTGCCTTATGATTTTTTTTTAATTTTGCAAGTCATTTATTTGGCGATGTCATCAAAGGCTCTATAAACGTTAACCTTTGCGGCAGAGAATATTTTAAAAAGTAAATTGACATCTCTCAGGGTCGTATTTCAGAACTCTACTCAATGCTCAAGTCAGGGTCTGAGTATGATTTCAAGCACTGGAAATACGACCCCAATGGCAGGGACTTGAGTATGATTTCGAGTGCTTTAAACCATACTCAAATCCTGACTTGAGCATTGAGTAGAGTTCTAGAATACGACTCTCAACGTCAAAAACGAAATTCTAACTTAAAGATATATTACCTATTAACCTTAAATCCCTCCTTCTTTATGTGTACTCCCCTTTATTAACATTGTGTGTGATTTTATACGCTCTAATAACATAATGCTTTAGTCCGTTGTTTGTCCATGATTGTTTTTTTTTTCTTTTTTACCTCAGGTATGATTTCCACAACAGCATTCTGTCGAAGAGACTCATCTGAAAATAAATACCTTGCTGCTATTTGGTACTTTTTGTTCTCTGATATTTCTTTAAAGTATTGGAGTTTTATCGTTCTACTATTTTCGCACGCGTTTTTGTTTCTTCTTGTTTTATTTAGTGCAGTTATATGACCGACGGAATCATGAACTTTATAAAAGCTGAATCTCGTAAATTGCCACAAGTCGAAAATGTAATGATTATGGAATACTTACTATAATATAATCTTAATGTAGCAGAAATAAGAAGAGTAAAAATCGTTCAAATGTTGAAACATCTATATAGATTCAACATCAAAGATGGGAAGATGAGCTGAAGCTAACTGCAGGACCATGTTGAAGAAGAGTAGCTCTTGATAGAACACTGGAAAGGTCTGAATGAGGTCTATGCCAAGAGGCACGCTGAGTTAAGAGATACTTATAATGTAAAAATTTAAAACGCAACGTAAAATTGTAGTGTAAAACTATTTGTAACTCAGCTTAAAAAGGCTATGAAGTAAGATGAAAGCTATACTGAAATGAAAACTTTATACAGCTTCTGCGTAATTAGATAAGAAATATCTATGGTAGTGATCCTGTATTAAAATTAGTATTATAAATGTGACCAAATGCGTTATTGATTTCATAACATTGATTAAAAATTACTACTCGTTCGTCATCAAAAAAATCCCATTGGCCAGACCAGTCTGACAAACGGAAACACTGGTGATCTACTACTAGTGATCTTATGTCAATTCTGACAATTTCAAGTACTATTTGCTATAAGTGAGAAATAAAAATATTATTAATTAATAAGTATCTTATTTACTCCATGATCTAAATAATAATTTACTTAAATTACACTTTTTTACCTTTCGACTGTTAACCAACAATACTCTTCGTAAATATTCAACATTATAAAGCTGTCGTTTAATGAAAAAAGAACGGTCATGCAAGAGAAAAATTGTATTACAATATAAATAAGACACTGGTGATGGTCTCCATAATTTTTATATTTATCTTATAAAACTGTTGCTGGCAAAAGCCAGCACTCTTTATTAAAGAAAAATTGCACGCAAATATGGCACATATTTGTGGTTTTAGTAGTTTGTTTATGCAGTGAAAATTTCAACATCAAAATCATTTCAACATTTTAATAACTTACTTTAAACACAAGTGGCACGTTATTTAATTTCTTTTGAATGAGAAGTGCAAATGATATTTTTTTTAAATTACCTTTATTTTCTATACTGATCAAAATCCTTATTGCAAGTTTAGTCTGAAAATTCAAGTTGATCACTTATCCTTTATACTGAATCAATTTGTTTTGTTTTAAACAAAGTTACAATAAGACATTAATATTGTTTAGACAATCATAGATACATCTTAGGTTTTCTGAATATCTGTCAATATGTTTTTTACTTTTTAACACTTTTTTTGCCTTGTCCATAGTAAAGTTCTTACATTTCGGATGTAGAATCAAACAGAGGGAGTAGCTGTTGAAGAAATCTCTTGAGAAAAAAGTGTTTCAGCTGTTATCCTAGCGCTTGTTGTTTCCCTTATTCTATAATTTGTACTCTTGTCAACCATTTTTACTTCACAATGTTTTGCAATGTATATCTAAAAAGTAGACTGGATACTTCTGAATGCAACCAACAAGATTTTTGTTATAAGAATGCTTCATAGCACAAGAATAATGATATAACTAAATAAACTTTACAAGTAATGTGCAAGTCGGATACATATTGGGGACTACACAAACTCTCCATGTTTTCTTTTTTTGTTGTTATGCTGGTACTAGGTTGGTATAGCAGTTTTTGTAATTCACTGTCTTTTCATTCACTTGGATGCTGAAGACATATTATTACTAGCTTTATATAGTATGCAATAGGTAAATTTACAATTATACAAATCAAACTATTAATATCAATATATTAAATGAGGTATGAATTCAATTGTATATTGCGCCGCTTGAATGTGCGTTTGAGTTTTTGCTCATATTTCAAAATTTTCACTTTGATACCAATAAATAATAATAAATAAATAAATAAATAACGCACACACTCAACATAGCCCCGCACTAGGGAAACCCTGTGTCGCGGGTGCCATGGACACACACATAGACAACCACAAATTAATAACGCACATACTCAACATAGCCCCGAAAATACTATCAAACTATTTGTTCACTTGCAAGAGTTCTTCACACCAATAAATAGTGTAAACTTTGAAGTATCTCACGTTTACTTTACGACACTATTCTCGTAGGTATGGACAAAGTACTTTCTGTATTCCATAGCTGTGTTATATTTGGTATTTTCTCTTCCGGCAGCGAAATTAAAAGTTTCAAAGATAATAAGGCATGTTTACAAACGTGAAGTGACATTTAATTTTTTTTTGCGTTTTGCTTTACATTACGCACGGACAAAACATTATAGAGCCACTGATGACGTCATTGAATGTCAAATAAAGGTCAATACTATTTTTTGAAAAATATAAAGAATCTCAACGTAATATTGACAAATACGTAGAAAATATTAATCAGCAACCTTATTCCTCGAAATGGATTTTGAAATAAAGAGTTTGAAAAAAAATTAACAATGCCCATTCGTTTGGGCTGAGTGGGCGTCATTTAGGAAGCTTAGCCACATCTTCTGGTCGTCAATCCCACAAAGCCTAAAAACTAAGGCATTTAACCAGTGCGTTCTTCCAGTTAAGTCATACTCAGCCGAGACGTGGATATTAACAACAGGCCTCTTCCACAAATTCAAGGTCGCTCAGCGTGCTATGGAGCGAGCTGTGTTTGGGGTTTCTCTGATGGACCGAATTCCTAACGAGGTCATACGGCAGAGAACTAAAGTGACCGACATAGCTCTCAAAATCAGTAAGCTTAAGTGGCAGTGGGCCGGGCATGTCTGCAGGAGGGTTGATCGCCGATGGAGCAGACATGTTCTGGAATGGCGACCACGTCAAGGAAAACGTAGTGTGGGACCCCCTGCGGCAAGATGGACGGACGACCTGAGTAAGGTGGCCGGCAGTGGCTGGACGTGGTCTAGGGGAGCACGCCAACTTTCCCGGTCTTATGTCCAGCAGTGGATGCGTGTAAGCTGATGATGATTCATCGGACACTTTCGCTGTTATACGTACTTAATCAACCAAAACCATGGTCTCATCTAATTGTCAATGAAAGAATGAAACGTGTAAACAAACGAATGACATACATACCTGCCCACGACACCCAGGCACAGATTACTTAACAGTTACTATGTAACAGATACGTCACTCACACATAAAATGGATAATACCTACGCTATAATAGCCTACCAAATCTAACTAATGACACCAGGCGCTCACTACGAGGGAAAAGGAACCTAACGACGCGTTCGGAAAGGTTAAAATAACGTTGTCCGCCGTGTGCAGTCTTGCGGAACCGATTGCTCATAAATGATAGACTTGTATGAGCGCTTGTGCCGTGCCGACGTCGCCGTCGGTACAGTCAGCGATAGGTACTTGTCGCGTGACCTTGAGCGAGTGCCGTCACTGCCCCAAGTTAAAGTCCTCGACATTTTTAAAGTTTTCTTCCCCTTTATGCATATATTTATTTACATAAATAATAAAATATATTATTACTTAACATTTTTAAGTTACGTAAAATATTTAAAATTTAACTCATAGGTGTACCGTGTAATATACCGTGTAATCTCCTATATACATATAATTTATCCAATATTTTTCGTTTAATTTTCCATACTTGACGTTGACATCTATCAAAAGTTGATGATACTGAATGAAAACGATGTAGCCAATGAAAAGGTTCTTTTCGCTGTTATGAAATCATTATTAAATCTCGTCTTTCTCTTGTTGTTACTTTTAGTTAGACAAGTTTATTAAATAATTCACGCTATATAAAACTTCAAAAGATATTTCTAAACGTAGAACGTAATAATGAGCCTTCGAAATTATATTTTCGAAATTTTTCCGGATAAATTTCCGCTATTTGAAATTTTTCGCAAAATTACCAAACAATATTCCGCATATAACGGAACTGTAGAGGATAGAAAAAACTGAAGGTACGGAACGGCACCGCGTCACTATCATGGCGTCGTATCGGTACGTAATACGTATTTCACTATTAAAAAGTAACATACTTGCTACTAAATACTATCAAACTATTTGTTTACTTATAAACGTTATCGGTGTCCAATATTCATAATTTGTTGGTGAATTCATCGGGTTTGAATAGAATATTGATCAAAATGCGTGTTTTAGTGGAGGGCGAGCGCGTACAAGTATTGCTTGGGAGCATTTTGAGATAAAAGACCGACTTCGGTCTATAGCAACATGCAACCATTGTCACGAAAACTTTTCGTATAGAACTACTGCGGGCAATTTGACGAAACACCTTCGAGTGAAACATGGATTTGTGAAAGAAGACGAGATAAATGAGAACGCAGATGCCGCCGATGACAAAATGTAAGTGCATTTAGATAATATTACATTTATAACCTAAAAATAAGTCCTACATTTGTTTCTAATTATTAGTTCAAAGAACAGTGTAGTAATGTGATACATATTTCTCGCTATCTTTTATTATTTTCATTCAGAACTGTTTACATTTTTATATAAATCCCAACTCAATGTTTAATATGTAATACATGTTACATACATAAAATATTGCAGTATCAAAATTTAAAGTGTTTTGTATTAATTTACAAGGCATTGATAATGAATAATAAGCGTCTACCATTTTAGACTTGGGAAGGGCCTGAAATATTACAGGTGTACCAAAGCAAGTAAACATAGTATGGAAAGAAGGGAACTACTTTTAAATAGTTGGTTTCTAAATTGGTCCTACAGAGAATCAAACCCACGACTTCTTCATCTGTAGTCTGACTTTTTTGAAGACTGAGTAAAATGACGGCTCATTGTGCAAAAGTGTTGCCCACTTGCAAGCAGCTAGTGATTGCAGTCTAGAAATATTCAATCGACCATCGAATCACGCTTATGGAACAAGAAGCCGAACTTCTTTCATTTGAATCATCCTCAACCTATAATTCGTCCAATTACTGAGCACAAATTCATTGGAATTGTCAATTTTTGTAAGTTCATACATACACTGTATTTAGAACTATGTTTATGAAAAATACAAAAAGGAGACATATAGATAATCAAATCCGGCTATTCTTGTTAAAATGTATATGTAAAAAAATTGATCTCATTACTAGAAGGCCAACTTACTTGATATATACAACAAAATAGTTTATGACTGCAAATTAGCCATTACAAAATGGCTCGAAACTAAGTCGTATGAGGAGATTGAGCAATTACTACTAGTTTGAAATAAATAAATAAATATATAAATAAATAAGTAAACATAAAAATGAGGTATTCGTTGATATAATATTGAAATTAAATTAAATCAAAATTGAACAGAAATATGTGCGCTCACACACACACACACACACACACACACACGCACACACATACACAAACACTCATTTACACACACACATACACAAACACTCATTCACACACACTTCATGCATATATTTTTTTAATAAGTTAATGTAAGAGCTATGTTTAATTATTAATTGTAAAGAAGAGCGATGTTTCCTAACACAGGCCCTACAAAGCTTAAAAGGAAACATCAGCCCCTGAATTATGCCATGTACAGTGAAGTAATAAAATATTTTTATTTTTTTTATTAACTGTCAAAATAAGAATAAAGAAGGCAATAACCCAATTAGTAATCATTAGGTTGTCATAACATTCACAATTCAGTCATTTTTGGCAAAACTTAATCTTCTTTCGCAATCTATCGTTGAAACTATCCACAACAACTATATAACTATTATGAAAACTGATAACCCTATAAATACAATACAATATTCTTTATTGCACAATAAACAAGCAAAAATACAAAACAATCAAAAATACAGTGTACAACAGGCGGCCTTATTGCTAAATAGCAATCTCTGCTAGGCAACCTTGGGGTGATAGGATAAACTAAAAGTAGTAATAATAATAGAGGGCGCAATAAATATGATATTATTATTAAACATCATAATATATGAATGAAATAAATAATAAATATCTACTAACATATAAATTACATAAATACTTAAATACTAATATAATACATACAAATAAATATATTATCACCACAGAAGAGGAAAAAAAAAAACGAATAAATAAGACAGCAGAGTAGAATTTATAATTTAAGGTAATGAGCCTTAACTAGGATTTTAAATGACTCAATAGTTTTGCTCGTCTGATCGACTCAGGCAGGTCATTCCACAGCTTGATGCTCCTAATAGTGAAGGAGTTGGAAAAGTATTAGGAAATGTCATTTTGCTCAGTCTTTTTTGAAGACGGGAAATATAACTTCTTAATACTCATGATTGGGTCATTGAGGCAATCAATAGTGAGCTGTTGTTTTAAAACACTTTGAAAAGTAACTATTTCTTCTTTCTCATATATCTGCATACTAGGCATTCTCATTCCTCTGACTTTGACTCATAAATCTTTTACCATATCTGCTACGCTATGCTGTGCTCTCCGGCTGTGGAATTCCTTTGAAGAAATTACTCAACAGTCTCCTCACCATCACATCCTTCTTACAATGTGTGAAGGACCGATGTTGTTAATTTCTAATTTTCATTCGTTCTATTTAACCCATTCATAGACTGTATGTCGACTGTGTGCCGCATTAAAAAATGTCACTGCTTTTCTTTGAACAGCAGTGACATTTTATGCTTTACATTGAGTCGATGTAAAATGTTCAGTGTTAATAATTGATAGATAGATAGGTAAAAGCTTTATTCACCACCATGACATCAGATACATGATATAGGCATTAACTTATATATAACAATAATGATATTCTTATCTACTAATATTACACTTGGAAGTCATGGCAGTGAAAAAGGCGCTGGCTCAGCATAAATGACGCGGCTGCCCGCGACGCTGGTATTCTGCTTACAGGATAGAGAGAAAAATCTGATTTCATTTTTAAATTATTAATTTTCAATTTTCAATCTTCTTCCTCCCAACCTCCACACATAATACACTATTTGCAGTCCTGAAACAAGGTACAGCCAAGAGCATAACAAGCCCGGCACCTTGGACCTTGGACCGTTCCTATCGCAAGCGGCACAGAGTTGAAATTAAATCTTAAATGTCAAGCACGACGCGCTCCCGACCCTGTACGTGGACAAACAAGAGAATTGAATATTGTCAGTGCATTGTTGATGCTTCTCTTTGGAGAAGTAGTAAGCGGCTACTATAATTAATATAAGCATTAGGAAAGTGCACTGTAGAGAACACATAGTTTTGCTATCCATGAGTGGAATGAATCTATTCATTTATTTCAGATCCTAATTATCTATTTTGAGGTTTTCACAAAACTGCTACATAACAATAAAGTCACCTGTTGTAAATTAACTTATTCTAATCAAATTTCATTACAGTTCCATGTTTCATTGTCATTTTTAATATGCAAGAAACAATCCAGTCATTCATCCGTTACTCAATATTACGCTTACATTTCCTCTTTGCTTACACAACGGCGTCAGTCATAGTTAATTAATGTTACATAGTGAATCAACTGTAACATTACCTTTTAAACTCAAATAAAATCATGTTGATCATAGGTAAGCAAATTATACTTGAAATCTTCGCATTGATAAAAACTCTGTTACGCATTCATAAGGCAGATTCTCCTGAGAAGAAGTTGTAAGAAACTTAGATTTTTGTACACGTTTATTGTTTACAATATTTATTTCAAATATCATAGACCGAGACAACCTGTAAGACCTAACGTAACGTTGATAAGTCTAGAACTAGTGTCCGCAACTTGACTTGACAACTTGATTTTGCTTGTAGTGGGTGCAGGGTCTTAGGTTGGTTACACACGGTTAATTTTTGCAGTGATGCAGACGCGCTACTGCGTCGATACAGTCGCTTATGTTCAATAATTAGGTTTATGCACATTATGTTATTTTATTAATTGTAAATTTAAAAGTGAAATTCAAATTCTACAACTACAAATTCACTAAAAATCAACGCTCAATTCTAACAACACTACCTAACTACCTACCCAAATAACTAACTACCCCTACTACCTACTTTCCGTCACGCGCTGCATAGCCGGCAGGAATCTGGCCACCGGTTGCGGCTGGGTTGTTCTTCTCCTCCACGATCCCGGGCGTGTCACTCCCTGAAACTGTGCCCCCTGTATATCCGGTATATCCGGCTTGTCCGGGTCAAATTTACTCTGGCTGGGTGTGGTGCCAATGAGCAATTAGCAATGAGAAATTAGCAAATACATTAAAGAAATAAATTAGTTAATTAATTTAAAACGTGTATCGCGTTTGTATCGCTACTGCATCGCGTTTGTATCGCTACTGCATCGCGTTTGGATCGCTACTGCATCGCGTTTGGATCGCTGCTAAAAATCGCCGTGTTTAACCGCTCTTACTCGTGCCACCTATGCTGAAGTCTGAACTCCGCTGAGGAAAGTCTTCAGCGGGGAGCGACCTCGGCATTCAAAGGCACCTCGTCCTGTTTATGACCACGCCGGAGCATTGTAGTACGACATGCCCGTTTCCTTCCCCTCCATGCACGCTCTGCACAGTGGGCTTTCTATGATACCTAAATGGAAATGTCATCAGGAAATTTTCAAAATCGGAACGCAGCATTGCTCATATTACACGTTGGCAGCAGATATAGGCATGGTGCCAGTATTTCTCTGGACGCTCTCTTTGACAAAGAGTCCTTCTACTGCTACTGAATAATCCAATGAAATTCAACTTTTCCATGTTATTGTCTCGACTTCAAGCTGATTTTATTTTATTATTTTATTTCATATTATGTCGAATTTTGCTTTGGAATGCATTGACAATTTTGGTAGTCGAGCGGTTAGAACTGCGGACGTTGTTGGATGGCAAAGTCTCTAGATCGATTTCTGGTAGCTAATTTTGGGAAACAACCCTTTCTAAATTGATTCTGGTCAGTAAAATTCCCAAGTTTTGAGAATAAATGTGGCTTTTTAATAAAGGTTTATTTCTTATAGAGATCCTAAAAAGGCATTAAAAGGCGAACTGTGGCAACACTATGAAATAAAAGATGAATTTCTCAAATTGGCAACATGCAATTTATGCCACGAACCGTTTTCATACCAAAGTTGTTCAGTATTGGTAAAACACTTGCAGAAGCAACATGACATTGAATGCTTGGTTAGCTCTGATGAAGAACAGAGCGATGAGGACTCGAATGAAGAAGAACATGATGCAAGGTGATTATTTTTATTTGGCATTGTCAACCTGTATCTGTCTCACTGCTGAGTACAGGTCTAAGGAGAGGGTCATGTATCCTACGTCTAATACACGGTCTCAACTCACGCGTTTCCCGTCTGTCCAGACTACGCAATGAGCATAGTGCCACAGTGGACATGTTAGGTCTCCTCAGTGCAAATCTTAACAAGTAAACAAGATAATACCTTGTCTATACCTGTGATTATTATTTTTTGTATTGTTTTTCTATTTGCATTGTTTTTATGTAGGTAGTTCATCGAGTATATAACCAGAAATAGAGACGAAAATTGACGAAATGTCATTTAAGTTGTTTGAAATCTATTCTGCTATCTATATGTAACAAAAACGACCACGAGCAATGGCGCAGGCTTTCCCGCAATCCTGTACGCTCCTGATCACGCGCGGTAGAGTGACTGTAAAGAGGGCTATTGTAGCGCTGCAGTCACGCCACTACGTATTTTCATAAAATATTTAGTGCCAGCTGAAATCGGCTGACGGGAAGGCGGAGGACATTAAATTTTTCAACCTATATTTTATACCATAGCAATTGGAATAAGGTATAAATTGCGATGCTTTTGAGACCAACGTCGGAGCATCGTGGCGCACTGCAGGGCATGTATCTTAAGATCTACAAGCGTCTAAATTGAAAGCGCCGTTAGATCCTAAGATAAAATCCTAATTGATAGAAAATAGTTCCGTGTCCAATGTGTCGCTTTCGCGAAAACCTGTAGTAACAAAAGTACACAATTTTCAGCCAAAACGGAACACGTGACGAAGAAAGACGTCGCAAATCGAGCAAGGCATGGGAATTTTTCGAAATAAAGGACCCGCGCAAAAAAATCGCCGCATGCACCGTTTGTGGGGCGAAGTGCTCTTATAGAGCTTCTGTTAGTAATTTAACGAAACATGTACGAACGCAGCATGGGTCGGAACCTTTTAGGAGTAGCAGCGTGGATAAGTCCGATGGAGAACAGGAAGCTAGTGATGTGGAAGAGAATAAGTGAGCTAATTTCATTAGTGCTTAAAAAAATGGTCCTTCTGTCTACTTTGCATTTTTTATGCATCGTGTTCAATTCTGGGGCCCTACTCTTGTAAGAAGAAATCAGTTCCGGCCATTTTCCCATTATGGATGCCCTGCAAAATCTTCTCGAAGTCCTTCAACGAAAAGACGGGTCATTCGAAACTGTCAAATCGCGTTATCTTACATTCATAATTCTGCCCCGATCGAACCTCAAAATCAGTAGGTTGTCCATAGTGGGAAAACCTCATTAACTACGGATTCCATACCTCGAGAGACCCTTGGTTATTAATTCAAAGTAAATGTCTCGATGTTTAGTTAGTCATCAACACATTCTATATCACACTGCTGGGCATGGGTTTAAATTATTTAAACTAGCAGACTTGGGGCCGAAGTGACACGACAACACTGTCGCTTTGAAACTAAATAGGTAATATTAATATAAATTAAAGCCATTTTTAACCGACTTCAAAAAAGGAGGAGTTTCTCAATTCGACTGTGTTCTTTTTTTATGTATGTTACACGAAAACTCCGGTGTTTGTGAACCCTTTTTTCATGATTATTTTTTTGTTGGAAAGGGGGTACTTCCATAGTGGTCCCATTTCATTTTGACGAAAATCATCCACCTCTAAGGGTGGCTGTTCACGCATGAAGATTCATATTTATAAATAGCGCCTAACTTTAATTTAGGAGCAATAACTTTAATGGTTGATTTTGCTATTTCTCCAATTCAAGGCGTTTTTCTCTCAATATACTTTGTGTAGTGTCGTAGTGAGAACCTATTTTTATTATCTCCAGTGCCAAGTCCTGTATAGTGGCAAACTAGGAGATATTTCAATAAAACTTAGCAAATAGACGTAATTCCACGTACTTTTGAGGTCGGTTTTTTTAGTACTCTGTACTGATGTGTTAACACTATGTTAGTTGTCTTGTGCGATATGTGAAAAAAGTTGCTAATAGCGGGTATTACACAGACACTATAGCGCGTGTAATGCAGCAATTGTTCACTTATAAAGACGTTGGAAGGAAAAGAGAAAGATCGCGCACTCCAACACGCGCCAGTTTCACATGGTCTATCCTGCGGTCTATCCTGCGCTATTAGCCTTTACACGGCCGCTCTTTCCGTGGTAACAAAAACGAACAAGTTAGCTTCAAAAAATTCATACTGGTAATCGGTGCACGATTGCGCTTGCAAGTTCTCCTGTCAATGCATTGACAATTTTGGTAGTCCAGCGGTTGGCACTGTGGGCGTTGTTGGATGGCGACGTCTCTGGATCGATTTCTGGTTAGCCGATTTTGGGAAACAACCCTTTCTAAATTGATTCTGGTCTGCGTGTTCTGTGTAGTGCCCTGAAGTAAAATTCCGAAGTTTGACAATAAGTGTGGCTCTTTAATAAACTGTTTATTTACTGTTTTATTTCTTATAGAGATGCTAAAAAGGCGTTAAAAGGCGAACTATGGCAACACTATGAAATAAAAGATGAATTTTTCAAATTGGCAACATGCAATTTATGTAACGAACCATTTTCATACCAAACTTGTTCAGGATTGGTAAAACACTTGCAGAAAAAACATGACATTGAATGCTTGGTTAGCTCTGATGAAGAACAGAGTGATGAGGACACGGATGAAGAAGAACGTGATGCAAGGTGATTATGTTTATTTGGCATTGTCAACCTGTATCTGTCTCACTGCTGAGTACAGGTCTAAGGAGAGGGTCATGTATCTTACGTCTAATACACGGTCTCAACTAACCCGTTTCCCGTCTGTCCAGATTACGCAATGAGTGCCACAGTGGACATGTTAGGTCTCCTCATAGCAAATCTTAACAAGTAAACAAGACAATACCTTGTCTATACCTATTATTATTATTTTTCTATTTGCATTGTTCTTATATAGGTAGTTTATCGAGTGTATAACCAGAAATAGAGACGAAAATTGACGAAATGTCATTTAATTTGTTTGAAATCTATTCTGCTATATCATTACGGTGACAACTACGCTCCGATTGGCCAGCCCGAACTCGAAACAATTGACAAGTGTCGTCAATTGTTTCACTTCAAATCGACGGTTTTACTTGAGCTTTGCTATAATGGATGAAAATTAAAAAAATACATATTTAATTACCGATGAAATGTGATTCCGTTTGTTTTGTAATTAGATGTTTTGCTGTTTTTCCCACAACACATAATGAAACAGCCTCCCATTGTTAAAGATATTATCTTTATTACAATAAATACAGAATATATTTGGAATATACGAGACGTACACATAGGTCAGTTGTCGGCGGTCAGGTGTCGGTTGTACTATTCCAGCTTTCTAATTTGTGATTTCAGCGCAAACGAGAGTTGATATTTAAAAGTGATATAAGACTCATTTTCCTGATGACTTGCCAGCGATGGATGGCCCTTATTTCGTCTCTATTTCTGGTTATACACTCGATATGATAGTTACTTGTATTCGTTTTTACGGTGCTAAAATATTAAGATTATCACGCTTAACGCAAGATATGTTTCACTTGTTACTTACTAGTTGTGCATCTTGTCAAAATGCTCCGTTGGTTATTCTAAATTTTAAACAATAATAATAAATGAGATAAAGAAGTTGCATACCAGTGATGTCCAAACATATGTATTTCCAAATAGCAGTTACAAAATTAATGAAACTATTTTTTGTGAATGAAACCGACTGAAGTCGTGACCGAAACGAGTCAAGAGCCCGAAACGTTTGTTTGTTTGAAAAAAGACATCTACTATGCGATTTAGGGCGTCTTAAAGATGGCGCCAATAGCGGACACTACACAGACATTATCGCGCGTGATACAGCAATCCTGCGCAATTGGGCGCTCGTGTAAAGATGGTGGAAGGAAAAGGGAAACTCGTGTCGCGTACTCCAACACGCGCCAGTTTCACGCGGTCTATCCTGCGATATTAGCCTTTACACGGACGCTCTTTCCGTTATAACAAAAACTACCACGAGCAATCGTGCCGGCTTTCCCGTGCGCAATCTTGTGCGTACAAGATTGCGCACGGGAAAGCCGGATCGCGCGCGGTAGAGTGACTGTAAAGAGGGCTATTGTGGCGTTCCAGTCACGCCACTACGTATTTTCATAAAATATTAAGGGCCAGTTGAAATCGGCTGACGAGAAGGCGGAGGACATTAAATTTTTCAACATATATTTTACGCTATAGCAATTGGAATAAGGTATAAATTGCAATGCTCTTGAGACCGACTTCGGAGCACCGTGGTGCACTGCAGGTATCTAGCTTAGGATCTACAAGCGTCTTAATTGAAGGCGCCCTTAGATGCTAGGATAAAATCCTAATTGATAAAAAATAGTTCCATGTCCAATGTGTCGCTTTCGCGAAAACCTGTAGTAACAAAAGTACACATTTTCAGCCAAAACGGAACAAATGATAATGAAGACAGACGTCGGAATAGACCGAGCAAGGCATGGGAATTTTTCGAAATAAAGGACTCGCGCAAAAAAATCGCCGCATGCACCGTTTGTGGGGCGACGTGCTCTTATAGAGCGTCTGTTAGTAATTTAACGAAACATGTACGAACGCAGCATGGGTCAGGACCTTTTAGGAGTAGCAGCGTGGAAAAGTCCGATGGAGAACAGGAAGCTAGTGATGTGGAACAGAATAAGTGAGCTAATTTGATTAGTATTTAAAAAATGGGTCTTCCGTCTACTTTGTATTTTTAATGCACCGTGTTTACTTCTCCACAATTCTGGGGTCCTACTCTTGAAGGAAGAAATCGGTTGCGGCCGTTTTCCCACTATGGATGACCTGCAAGACCTTCTCGAAGCCCTTCAACAAAAAGACAGGTCATTCGAAACTGTCAAATCGCGTTATCATATATTCATAATTCTAGCCCCGATCGAACCTCAAAATCAGTTGGTGGTCCAAAGTGGGAAAATATCCCTAACTACCATTGACTTACAATTATATGGACGTCGGGTCCGCGCCAAAAAGTGTCCGAACTTATAGGGCGTTAAAATCGTATACAGAGCGTCATTCACGCTTTAGTCTTCGTTTGTTCGACTGACAGCGAAGCAAGCAAAATTAGACAGTACTGCGATGACATTACAATTTAAATTCAACGTTTTAGCTTTTTCATATTCCTTTACATGTCACTAAGTTTAAATAGGTTGACTTGGGACATTTTTTTCGTGGTTTTTGTATTAGAGCCGTCGTCCATTTATTTCAAAGTCAATGCTAACTACGGATTCCATGCATCGAGAGTAGGTCCCTTGGTTATTAATTCAAAGTAAATTTCTCGATGCTTGTTGTTCGGGATGACGTGGACTTCTTTTTAAAGCGAGGTATTTAACCTACATTTTAGGTGGTGAGGTGTTGGGGGTAACCTCTCGCTTCCCGCAATCTGCGCGCTTAAAATTAAGGCGGTACATAATCACTACAAGTCGTTGCAGGGATTTGCACAGTTGATGTCGTAATTGACAATAGTACATTTTTCCAATAAACCATTAAGTAAATGAACTAATTTAAATAAAAACAACAACATTATATATATATATAAATTAAAAATAGATGTGTTGTGTGTTTCATATAGATTCCTTTTAATAAAAAAAGAATATATCGCACTTGACAACTAACATTGCGTTATATTAATAGTTTATCTCCAAAATTTCGCTATATTCAAGTGTCATTTAATGTCAAAGTGACAGGACAACACTCTGTCGCTTTGAAACTAAATAGGTAATATTAATATAAATTAACATTGACTTACAATTATATGGACGTCGGGTCCGCGCTAAAAAGTG